AGCAATAAGGTTCATTTTGCGACTGAAAGAATCCCATTGTGTGTACTGTCCTGTAAAGGTAGGTTTTCTGTATATACTGGTGAGAAAACGAAAGTCATCTTTTTCAAATAAGATGTCTGGGAACGGTAAAGAGTTATGTTGTTCCTTTTCAACGTTATATTTTAAGATCTGTGCAAGAACTCAGCTAACGGATGTTTCCGCATATAAAAGCTACCTTCACGTTTTGTACACCAAAAAAACTTTTCAAGAAATTTTTAGTAAAATACTTCATCAGAAATTTTGATTTTTTGTCTATAAAAGACTTGTAATGTTTACTGAAAACTTGTATAGGTACACAATTTGGGGGTCAAGATTTAGATCGACCCAACTGAGTGAGAGAGTTAATAGTTAATGATGTGAAAGAAACTTTGGAATGTATTTTATTTATGAAATATCCATATTTTTCATTTTTGTGGAATTTTTATATGTTAGTGCTAATTATTTTAATTAACATCATTGTTTTTATAAATAATTCTAGCTACAGTCCAACTGAAAAAAATATGATTCATTTATTTATATATTTACAAATACATTGCAGCTTAAAAATTATAGTTTTTAATTTGTTGTGAGAGAAATTCAAATCAACTGTCAGGTATTTTAATTTTTTTTCTATTGACAACATAAACTGCATATATAACATTAAGAGCAGCATATAAAGTAACATGAATGAAGTATTATAATATTGTTCTCTGTTTAAGAACAGTATATGAATATCTTTAAATTAACTTTTTTTGGCACATACACAACTTAAATTTTGCTTCGTGTTCACTTTCAGAAAGGTTCTAATGTGTTCAGCCATGAATAGATTCAAATATTAAGTTCCTGTACTAATTTATGTCTCATTGTGATTTCACAAACTTTCTATTTTACTTTAATTTGTCTAGGATTCATTATGATGACCCCTCAGCTGTTTATCAATTACAAGCTCAAGTCTGTAGCACATCTTCCCTGGCGAATGTTGACTTACAAGTTTCTTAACACATTCATTGATGATATATTTGCATTCGTTATCAAGATGCCTACAATGTATCGATTGGGTTGTTTTAGAGATGGTAAGGATCATAATTTCTTAATTATAATCACTCCTATAGTATTTAAGAGGTGAAAGAAATTACCTATCTTGTATTCAATGTAGAATATCTTGTCAGATATTTATTACTTCCAGAAATACTCTAAGTTAGTTCTTCAAGCCATAACAATAAAGAAACAAACCAGTGGATGTGGCATTTGTTGCAGCAATGACTTAATTATTAATTTCTTGAGAAAAAATAATTCAAAACCTCCTCTCACACTACAGCTATTTCTTGACTGCTTGGGTATCTTCCTTTGCCCATCTAAGCATTTGTCTGATTTTTACTCACTTGCTCAAGTCTTTTATTCCCCACTTAATTGCCCTTCGTGATATCTGTCTTGTGAGACTCTCCATCTACATCAATGTACCCTCTATCTTGGTACTGTATATAAGCACCTTCTTCCAGTAATATCATTTTTCTCGACAAAGTATTCACAAATGTGTTTCTATGTTGTACGACTGTTGGAAATACTTTGTGTGTTTTTAATTTTCGTAATAATAATAAAATAATCCCCCCCCCCCTCCATTTCGAAAGCCGATGTATGGCATGAATTCCCAGATTAAAACATCCGACACAGAAGCAAATCAAGTCGTTCCTATCCCGCCTCTGATATCTAGTGTTGCTCACCAATTGTGTGTTTCTCTGGAGGTTCTGAGGCTGCTCTAGCAGCCGTTCCTGGACATTCTGGAGAAAATTTAGATTCACTTTGTCCAGTGCCTTCCTTTGCTCTGTCAGCTTCCCATGAAGCCAATTTGGATCAGCCAGCTCCAGCTCGTTTTCCTCAGTTGGTAAATCGATTGTGTGATGTTTTGGGCCTTTTCCCAGTTGTTTTTGAGTCAGTGCCTTCCTTAAAGGTGAGTACTTTGTTCCACCTTCATCCTCTGATATTGCAGTTCATGCAGAGAGGTTTACTGCTTAGTTACAAGCTTTGTCCAGCATATTTGTCAAAACAATATGCTGTAGTCTACCACTGCCAGATAGAAGTATATTTAGACTTTCAGAGACTAGATCATCTTCTGGAAGTGTGTGGTTCCAGAATAGTGTCTATAGTCAACCTGAATAGATCACAATTTTCTAGAATTCCTCTAACCCTAACTATGATGCTATTTATCATCCCTACACTTTTTTTAGGAAGCCTATCAGCAATCACCACATCAATGTGATGACGAGTTGTGACTATTATTTGATTGTCAGCTTCTGCAATTTCCCTAGTATCTTGGCTGGTGTGTTATTGGGAATTGTCGGGTAGAAATGCATTGTTGGAAAGCATTTGTTGACCCGCTGCTGCCCTCCTTGAGTTGCGTGAGGCACCCTTTCTTTAACCCTTAACTTTTGTGGGTGTTCCAGAGTCTTTGGAATCAAGGGTTGATGTTGCCTGTCTGCATTCATCCCTGTCATCGATCACTTCTAGACTATCCTCAGCTCATAGAGGAGATCATAGTTCCACCCCCTATATAAATTTTTTCAACCCCTGAGATCAGCCCCACGGGCCATTATCCAGAATAGATTCTGCCAATATGCACGAGGTTCCTTTGCTCGATCAGAATGCTGCCAGCAGCGGTAGTGACTACCATTTACCTTTGGGGTCTGTGGGGGCTCATCTTTGAGAATTTCTGCACAAATGGAAAACCTTTACCATGAATCCATGGGTATTACGGGTCCTTGCATCAGGATTAGTCATTTAGTTCACATCTTCACTACCATCATCTCTCCAACCTGTTGTGTTTCTGCCTCCTGCAGATCCTCAGATTTCAGTACTTTATTCCACAGCTATCTGAGATTTGTAGGTCAAGGGAGCAATGGAGAGAGTTGTTCCAGTTTTTCCTGGGTTTTATTTCTGTTTTTTGGACCCAGGAAGACAGGAGATTAGCATCCAGGTCCTTGATCTTACTCATCTAAATCAATTCCTAGATCCTTCAAAGTTCACGATGGAGTCATTCCTCACTTTGCATTGGCATTTTTCACTAGGAATGTGGGTGACCAAGTTTGATGTTGCCAACACCTATATGCATGTTCCCATACCAGAGTCATTCCGTCACTATCTTTGTTTTGTGCACAGGGATCAGGTGCTGCAGTTTAGGAATCTACATTTTGGACTAGCATCAGCACCTTATGTGTTATGCTGCATTCTATGAGCTTTTTCCCATCATCTCTGTTCCCTGGGCCTGTGTACACACCATTACATGGATGACTCGTTACTACTGGCACCATTTTGTCAGTTGGCAGAATGTTCCACCCAGATTCTGCTTTCTGAAGCAACCAAGGCAGGATTTCTTATCAGAGATAAGAAATCTATTCTCATTCCAATTCAATATATCATCCATCTGGGTGTCTTTTATTCAACACATATCTCAGTGGGTCTCAGCTGACTCCCATCCAGCTCCACATTATGGAATAGGCAGTTGGACTCTTACTCAAGTCTCCTCACACTGCATGGATGGTTATGTCTCTTTTTGGAGATGTGGGCCTCACTTGAATCCCCTATTCCTTTGGGACAAGTGCACATGAGATTCCTTCAGTGGTCTCTACAAGACCTATTTGCTATGGTTGGCATGAACAGCGATTTTCTAGATTCCCAGGTCTCCTTATTCAGGATCAACATCTTATATCTCGAGTGATGGTTAGATCAGAACAGGACTATGATAGGTGTTCATCTGTGACACCTCATCCAGAGATCCATCATTTCACGGATGCCTAGCTTCAGGGATGAAGTACATATCTCAACGGTCAAGAATTCCAGGGTCTGTGGACAGAAGATGAGGATTCCCTACATATCAATGTTTTAGAACTTCTTGCTGTGCAAAAGGCGATGTCTCAAGGTCTGGAATTGTTGAAGAGCACTTCTGGGGTGCATTCAGGAGACAGCCATGATCCGACATCCTACACCCATCCATTCCGAAGCTCATGCTTTGTGAATGGAGGTAATGTGGTCCTGCGCATGGCATCAGGTTTTACATTCTAAGGATGCATGTACCTGTCTTAGTTTCTGTGTCGTTCCACATTTATCAAAGGAAATGGCAAACATATAGGCAATGGTGTATTGTGAGGAGGTTAAAACCACTTTGTCCAGACATGTCAACCATAGCCCAATTTTTGACCTGGTTCTTTGACAAGGATTTTGCATCTCCCACTGTCACCCTATATAAGGTGGTCTTATCAGCTAGTTTTGGATACTCTAAGAGACAGAAATGCTTTGAATCCCCAGTGCTTCCTGGCCTCCTCAAATCATTTTGGGTCCTTCATTCCAAATGACCTTTTCAGGTACCTAACTAGGATATAAAGGTGATGTTACATGCTTTTTTCTCGAGATCCTTTTGAGTCCTTAGTCTCATGTAACATGTATCACCTTTCCCTTAAAGGTTTATTTTTTGTTGCTGCTGGCCTGCGAATGTTGATGGTCGGAGTTGTTTGCAATTCATGTGCACAAGATACTTTATCATTCTTCCTACATCCTTTTAGACAGGTCCTTCTTACCTAAGACACAGGCAGCCATGGAAGGGGATAAATCCATTTCACTTATTCATCTGACAGTTATTTATCACTCATTTATAGATCAGATCCCAATCCTTTATATCCAGTGAGGGCCTAGAAGTGTTATGTTGCCCATACCAAAGTGTTTAAAGGTGCTAGATAATGGCTTTTTATTCATTGGGACCATTCAATTTTCTGTGATTTATCCCCAGTTACCTTGACAGGGTGGGTATGTAAATTGATCCATATTGATTTTTCTGGGCTCTATTTGGAGGTGAGGAGACTTCTGCAAGTCACATCTCATCAGATTCCTCACATTTCTATGGCTCGGTCAAATAGTGCACTGTGTGGGCTGGTATGTGGACCTCACCCAACACTTTTATCTCACATTATTTGAACTATCTGGCCAATCTCTTACCTCTTTTTCACAGGATTCCACTCTGTAGCGAATATTGCCTAATCGGGTGTGCTATTATCAAGGCAATTCTACACTAGCAACCACTAACTCAGTATACTTTATCTACTTTGCAACAGGCTCTTTAGAAATGGGGTGTTCCATAAGATCACCTAGAGGCATGCCAAGATGGTATTGGTACTAAGCTGGACTGCCATTTATGGACTATCGTGAGTAAAGCGTAAGGGGATCCTGCTCATCCCTTATAATCATTGGATTGAATAAATCAAGGATCTTTTTTTTTTGAAACATTTAGGGAACTTTGTTCAACTATTCACATGGGTGAATGGTGTCATGAGACAAATATTGCCAAGGGCAACTAAATGAGGAATAAAAGACTGGAACAAGCGAGAAAAAATCAGCCCAATACTTAGATGGGCAAAGGAAGAAACCCTAGTAGTTGAGTAATAGCTGTAGCGAGAGGAAGGAAAGTATTATTGGAAATACATTTTTGATTTAAGAAACTGTTAACTTTTGTTGTAATAAAAAGTAACTATTCTGCAGATGAAATTTAAAATTTTCATTAATGTTACACCTATAATTTATTAGGAAGTAGGCTTGTGTGTCTGTTATCTTTTTTTTTTCTTTCAGTTTCAGAATCCTTGAGATACAATACATGTTTTAGCTTTGCACTATTTCTTGCCACATTGACTAATTGCATTGTTAGTTAAGATACTGTGAAGCTTTTGGAGCATATTTTAGAACGTCATAAGGATTTGATTTTATTTTTATCAATACATGGAAAAAAACTCCAATTTTTTGTTGATTATATAGAGATTAAGAAATATTAGTTTATGAGAAAACTAAAAATTAAATGAGTTTTTATAACAGAATTGCAAACCCACAAGTTATCATGATTTAATAGTCAACAATAAAGTATTTTAACTAATCCTTAGAGTGAACATTTTACTCTGAACTTATATTGCTTGATATAATTTGTTCTGATTCAAAACTCAAGCTAGCAAAAAGTGAACTGTTAGTGCATGTTTATCTGAACTTTAGGAAAAGAAAAAGATGGAACAGTTCTTTTCAGTAGGACTAATAAAGATGTTCTCTCTCTCTCTAATTATATAATTCTTGAAACTAAACTGTTAATTAATACTTTTGTTAAAGAATATAAAATTCTGTTGTTCTTTATATTTTTAGTAAAATTTAAAAGTATTATTTGAAATCTGTAACAGTAAATATTTACATTTGATGACTTGAATACTAATAGTAGCTACTGAATTAAACTGCATTCATAATAAAACTTGTATACATTATAACTTCTATCTTTGAAAAAAGATTGACTTGTGAGAATAGTATAGTAAATAATTATTATTAATGCTCAATGAAAAACCTTTGTTTCCACAGACATCGTGTTCCTTATATTCTTGTATCAGAGATGGATTTATCGTGTAGATCCAAAAAGAGTCAATGAATTTGGAATAAGTGGAGAGATGCATGAGCAAGATGGCAACACAGCAAATGGAGCAGTTGTTACTTCAGAAGAAGCTGGCAATTCAATTGAGGAGAAGAAAAAGAATTAACATTTTATCAAGAATTAGCTTTGACATCTTAAGTTTGCTGTCTTTGTGTGAATTAAAGCATGCAGGTGGAACTTTTTTTCAAATAAGTTTAGAAATTATGATAGGATATGCAAGAACTTGAAACTTTTATTAGATAAATTCATGACAAAAAATATATGTTTTTAAATATATTGTTATTCATTTGTTTAAGCTATATACATACATTTCCCAAAGTGAGGTAGGCCAACATTAAACGATTTAGTTAAAAAAAGGAAGTGTAAATTATTGTTTTCTTTGTAATAGACATTGTAAGTTTTAGGCATCATTTTTTTTAAATATTGTGTATTTAATTGTGATTAACTCTTAATTTTCAAGAGATAATATTAAAAGCTGATTAACATCACATTTCAAATTTGTAAGTTATCAAATGAACATGATTCAACTGGACACAATGTTTTGTCAATTTACATGCTTAAAGATGTATTACTGGATTTACAAGACAATTCAAGAAATCAGTAAGCAAATGGTGTAAGGAATATGAAAACTTTTTTTTGTTTTGCTAGGTAATTTTTATTTTTGGATTCACTACAGTTTGCTAATTTAAGAAATTAATATTATGATTTGTTATAGCACATTTGTTTTTTGTTCTAATTACTTGCCTTTCCTTATTCTTGTATTATTATATGTTATAATTTGGCATTTCTCTTACTCCCGACAATTTATTCTACTTGTATTTATTTGACCTACCTTTTTACGAATTTAACCCTCTTGCTATGGGCAGGATAAAGTGCACATGTCATGAGTTTCCTGAGAATTACATTCAAAATTTAATCAAACAACTTTAATATCATTGTATACAAATAAACTTGGCACTAAAGTGAAATATTTAAAAAAAATACTCAATCTCCCATACTATGAGAATTGTGAAATTTGCTATCTCTGTCTTTCCTCTTTAATTTATTTACCACTCCTCTGAGAAGAATAGAATTTAATGTAAATTACTAATTATAATATAGTTATTACTCAAGCAAAGCATAATTTTTATAGCATTCAATCTTATTTGTTTTTGGAGCCATAAACTAGAAAATCAGACCCACTCTCCACACCCACCTATCACGTCATCGTTTTCATGAATTGCTAATAGTTCTTTCTTATGTTTAATACTGTATTATTTATAACCAATAGAAAGCCAGAGTTTTAGTCTATCAAATGACATAGTATATTACATTGTTTTCTGTACAGATGATTGTCTATTTCACTTCCATTTCAAACTTTATTCCCACGAGAAACACATCAGTGAGCTTAACTGAAGTTTAAAGTCATTTATCACATAGTTAGAAAGCCAGACAAATTATCATAGTTATAGGAGTTTTTTCCCTTTATGCGTGCTATTATTCTGTTTTCTGGGGGTGCATTATATAATTAAATAAAAATTATTTAGTGTAATATTACCAATAATACAAAAATGCTGGCTTAAGTTTCATTGAAAGTTGATAGCAAAAGAAAAGAAAGTACCCAGGTAAGCACTATATTATTTGTTTTTCATGTATTAAAAATTATAATTTTTTGTGTACAAAAGACTTGTAAAGTTTACTTAAAGCTCGAAAAATTTTGTGAAGATACACAAAAAATATTAAAAGTTATAGTATGAAAACTCTGATGGTCATTTTGGGGTCGTGAGGTCAGTGTAATCCATTGAGCCCTTAGTGAGAGGGTTAACAAAGACATTCAATTCTCATTATAATTTTTATCATACGCAGTGAAAACTCACAGAAACAGTTTTTGAAGAATTGGCTAGTTTTCTGCATTATTTCCATTCTTTGTTCATCTGAGAAATAACAATTATATTTCAATTTTTGAACATCATGCATGATATTTGGCATGTTAAGTAGACAGTATTCAATCCCACAAATAAACACACAAAAAAACTTGTGTACATTGATAGGTTGTTAAATGCTGTATTTTAATCTCTAGAGATATGTAAAAAGAATTTACAACCTGAACTACAGCAAAGTGAGATTTTTCAAATAGTATCATTAACTTTATAAAAGTAAATCCTTAGTGCAAACAGTTAAATCTCAAACCAGAATTCATTGATTTGACAGTGGCTCGGTGATGATGATAAATCTTAACTTCATATCTCGGTACTCTTGGATGCTTTTGAGTAAGTAAGGTTCTTGGTGCAACAATATTTCATATTTGTTTAGTAGTGAATTCAGAAAAAAATGTAGATTCTCAGTATTTTGGCTTTTGTATTTGTTAGTTAAGTTTTCTAACAAGCATAGTTCTTAGCAAAACCACTGACTAATCTTCATTATAAAATCATTAGACATTCAGAGGAAAATATGCTGACAAAACATAAAGAAAATATATTTTCTACACATTGACATTCTATATTTTATCTCAAAAAATAATAGGTAAGGAGATTATAGGTTAAACTTTACTAAAACATTGGAAACAATAAATTTAATAAAGATACCTCTATATAGAATTGAAATTTTAGCAAGTGTACTTACTATATCTTGCAGTTAGTAGAATGATAATTGTTTAAAGATATCAAACATAACTGTTTTCTGGAGCTTTAAGTAGCATAAATATGGCACCTCTATTCATAAATATATAATCAATAAATTCATGTCTTAATCACAGAACAGTTGAAGAAAAACATAAATTTTAAATGTTGTTTCAAATGTTTCTTCTTGCCACTTGATACCCTTTCCAAGGTACAGTAGCTAAGAAGACAAGTACCCATAGCCGAACTTGCTGACCCTTTCAGCCATTATAATATGACTGTCAATCCTGCTGTTTGTTGAGTTAGTGGTGGGTGGTGTTGACTAACTGCCTTCCCTCTAGTCTTTCACTTCTAAATTAGAAATGGCTAGTGCATATAGTCCTTAAGTAGCTTTGCATGAAAATTCAGGAAACAAACAAACAGAAGACAGGTTTTTGTTACTGATATCAATGTCTGTGAGATTTGTTTATTGTCATCAACATCTAGGGTTTACTGAGAAGAGATGATCTCTTCTTTTTAATTTCTAAAATTAATCATAAACAATATTCCATGGTGAAGAATACAACAATGTAAAAAAATTCACAATTTCATCATTTCAAGTCTTGTGTATTAATTTGGGTTGTTGTTGTTTGTTTTGTGGTGTGTGCACTACTTTTTCAGCTATTTTTATGAAGCATACACATGAAAATATTTTGACAATAATTTTTTCTTTGTTTTTTTTCCCTTATTATGAATAGTCCTAGGAAACTCAACCCAGCTAGTTTTAATTTGGCTGAATTTCTAGCTCACCTTAGTTTCAAATTGCAGAAACTTTTGGTTTATAACAGGTCTTCTTTTGTAGAATTAATTTCAAATAAAATGAAAGACTTTCTTTTTCATAAGTGAAACTAAAAAGCAGTTTTTTAGTTAAGTTAATATTAAGATTTTTTTTAGCAAAAATTTACATTTATCAGTATAGTTTATGCAACATAAAAGCATGATTATTCAATAGCAATTAAAAATGAAGTTAAAATATTTTGACAAGGTGCTAAAGAGGAACTTTAAAATCAAATCTCAAGACTAAAGTTTGACTTATTGAAATGTCTGAAAACTTTGTTTTGCTGAGATATTTTGTGTTCCATAAATGTTTAAAACTTTACTTTATTAGTATCACAATATTTTTTAAGTGTTCCAAGCAAGTTTTGCAAAGTAAAGCATGTGTCTGATAGAAGCCACTTATCTTTCTTGAAAGGTCAATTAGTCATTTATGTAATGAGTTCCAATGGGTTTAAATTATTGATAAGGCAATTATATGTAGTCTTTGTACCTTTTTTTGCTTTTCTAGTATACATGCATGAAGATTTTGTAAGATTTTCACAAAAATTGTCAATTTTTTGTGATTCTACAGAATAGTCATTTATCGATAAAGACAAGCATCCCCCCAGTTTAGTTCCTAAGTGTAAATCTTTCTCGTCGTGTAGTATATGTAATCTCAAACTGAACAAATCACAGGAAATTATGATAGTCTCCTTTTTGTTATTGATTCTGATTGAGATCAAGACACAAAAGCTGTTAATTTTTGCATTATTTCAACTATAATGAAAAAATCAGACTTTCACATTACTAAGTACTTGTATAAAGTATTAAAAGTTGATCTGTTCAGTTGGTATGTGTTTATTTTGACTTTGGTTGTTAATTTTAATAAAAAACCAACAGTTGTGGACTTCAGGATATTTGCCTGAAAAAGGTTATTACTTAACAGGTTTAAAATACACAAGGTTTGATAGTATAGAAACTATCAGTGAGTCAATAAGAAATGTAATGGGTTTGGTAACAATTAGTATGACATTAAAATACACACACACAAGCTATTTGTTCATTACTAAACATATTCTGTTGTTAAATATAAAATAATCTTTGAAATTTTTTAAGTTTTATGTTGTGTTCTGTTTTAAAAACAAATGTCATCACAACACCAGAAATCAACAGTAGATACAGCCTATAGTTGTGGGGAAAAGATGTTTGAATTTGAAATATTCTATGTCATAACATCAAGTAATGATAGATAATATAGCTCATAAGAACCCTGTTTGAAATGTATAAAAGTTTCATTTACTAAGATAATTCCTTCATACATTTTTTGGTGCTTAGTTTTGTTTTGGATTCTTACATGTAGTGTTTTCAAAAATTATCAGTATTTGTGATTTAGTTAAAAACTGTATTCTGTCACAATATATCAAAATATTAATTTATCAAAATTAATCCATCTTATATTAGGCTACAACACAGGGGTACAGGCATGTTTTTTTTTATATATTGAGTTTTACCATCAGTATAATCAGATGTTCCTTCTCTGTGTGATTGTATATGTAGAATGTGCCAGTATTTCATTGTGGTAATAACGACAATGTACATTTTACCATACAAGAAGTGTAATGTAAATCTACCTGAAGTAATATATATTGATAACTTATTTTAGTTTAGACTTAAAACTATCAAAACAAAACTTAAAAGAAACTGATAAAATTATGCATGAATGCAGTATTACGGCAGATATCAAACTGATTTAAGTTTTACCTGCCACATCCTCTAATCTTTCTTATCATAAAACAGGCATTTTCGGACTTAATATTTAAAGTCGCATGTAAATCGTACTGCATTAATGTAGCATAAAAATTGGTAGGAAAACCATGGTGGCGACGTTTTAATATTTGTGTAATCTACATCATGCTAATATATATCTGATTTATGCTATTATGACCTAGAATGAACTTAATGCAAAGTAATTTCTAATATAACTTATAGTGATGGAAATAGAATCTAAGCTAAATGCATTTTCGTTTAAGCTAGCTTATTTTAATTCAATGTATATCCTAAACTTTTCGACAGAAGTCCAAGGAAATAAAGTATAG